TCTCAAAAAAAAAAAAAAAAAAAAGTTGGTGAGGACATGGAGAAATCAGAACACTTGTGTACTATTGGTGGAAATGTAAAATGATATGGTCACTATGGACAACAGTATGAAGTATCCTCAAAAAATTAAAAATAGAATCATCACATGGCCCAACAATCCTGCTTCTGGTAGATATCCCAATGAATTGAAAATAGGTTCGTGAAGAGATATTTGCACAGCCATGTTACTGCAACTTATTCACAATAGCCAAGAGGTGGAACCAAACTAAATGTCACTGACGGATAGATGTATACAGAAAATGTGGTATATGGACCAACGGACCATTATTCAACCTTAACAAAGAAGAAAACCCTGCCGTGAGGAACCTCAGGTCATCAAACTAAGTGAAATAAGCCAGTCACAAAAAGATAAATACAATGATTCCACTTATATTAATTTACTAACATAGTTAAACTCTTAGAAAGAATGGTGGAGGCTGGGAGCAGAAGAGAGAGGGAACAGGGGAGATGTCGTCTGGTGGTAGAGAGTTCCAGTTTTGCAAGATGTGAAGACATTCTAGAGCTCTATTGTGCAACAGTGAGCACAGAGATCAGACTATTGCACCATACTCGGCAAAGATGGTAAACTTCATGTTTTATACCAAGATAATTTTAAGAAAAATGTAGGAAGGACACGATCTCAGAATAAAGGTCAATCTTTTCTAATGAAGGACAACTGGCAACCCAGTTTCAACATAATATTAAATATATGCTTTTTGTTTCAATGAAAACTGCTAAAAGTCTCAGCATCTTGAAATCTCTTACCTCAGCGAAAGGAACCCAAGCCCCCTGCCCTGCTCATTTGGATGATGATGGTCACACTCAAGGGTTTGAAGACCAAACTTCCAGTTGGTGATAAGGAGGATGTGTGGCCACCTGGTTCTCTAGACATACACGCTTTGGAATCTTTGGGGGTGGAGGTTAAGGATTTAGAATCCTGGGTCCCGGCAGGACAATGTCTTCACACACTTAACACATATTTCACACACTACTGAAAAGAGTTGCAACTGGATTACAAACATGAATCTGGGGAAGGAGAGAGGAATGAACAGGTGGAGCACAGGAGATTTTTAGGCAATGAAATTATTCTGTATGACACTGTAATGGTGGGTACATGTCATGATACAGTAGTCAAAACTCAGCATGCGTAACCCCAAAAGTGAGCCCTAAACTATTGATTTGGTTAATTATAATGTATCAATATTGGATCATCGATTCTAACAAACATACACACTAACACAAGATGTTGATACTAGACAAAACTCTGTACCTCGGTGGGGGTGGGAAAGGGGTGTGGGAACCCCCTACACTTTCTGCTCAAGTTTTCTGCAAACCTAAAACTGCCCTAAAAGATAAATTAATTTTTTAATGAAACTAAAAAAAGAAGAAAAGGTATGTCTAAAAATTAAAAATATCAAAGAACTGGCAAAAAATATAGATTAAAAGCATAATTTAAGAATAACAAACTTTATGAAACATCAAAAAACTATGAATCAAGAAAAAGACTAATATACCATTAGAAAGATGAGCAAAACACAGAATAGACTATTTTTTAAAAGAGGAAAAATAAATGGCCAATTAGTATATGAGAGAAGTGCTCACGTTAATAAAACTTAAAATTATGAGATCCTGTTTTTTTAACTACATGAAATTGGCAAATATTTAGAAAAGAAATAACAGTAATGGTGAGAGACTAAACAGGTGCTTTCCTATATCACCAGTAAGGACTGCAAACCGAGATGACCTTTGGGAAGAAAAAATTAATCCAGAACTTTGAAGGCAGAAATGCGATTGTATCATATAGCCTTTGTTTTCAGGGCTTGCCCTAAAAAGCCCACCTGAGGATCAACTGACCCAAGGAGAATTGAGCCTTGATTTGTTAGTTGTTTACAACTGTAAATTTAGATGTTAACATCTGGAAAATTGGTGAGATGCTAATACTAAGTCCCCCCTCTCTGGGACCTCTCCGTGAATGCAACAACAAAAGTGCCTCTTCAAGCCATCTCGTGGGATTCACATGGAGCAGGGTAACTGCCACACACTTAAAAATGAGTTCATAAGCCAACATCGTATCAAAGTTCTCAAACTCCGAGAACATTCTCCTTACGGATTTATTCTTACACTGTGCCTGCCAACTTCATTTAGGTGGGTACCATTAAGACTTCCATTTTACAGACCAGGACACTAAGGCAGAGAGAGTTGACAGCACAGTCTCAGAGGAGGGCCCGGCACATATGTCACCAGGAGCCGTATGTCACACTTATGTCACAATTCAGCTCTTGAAGGTACATGAGATTCACTCAAAGCCCTTTAAAAAATACTTTTGGGGGGACTTCAAGGAAAGACATTTTGTTCAGTTAGTCTGGAGTTAGGTCCTTCCGTCAGTATTTGTACTCTACTAAAGAGGAATGTTATCTCAACCAGTGATTTTCAAATGTTTTTCAGTTCAGATCCTAGCACAGGCCCTCTACCCTGACCGAGCTTCTAAAATCCTTTGGACAGTGTGTGTGTGTGTGTGTGTGTGTGTGCGCGTGCACGCACATATGTGCATGTGTGCAAGTGTAGGAGTGTGTCCGAGTGTGCGTGTGCATGTATGTACATATGTATATGTCTGAGTGTTTGTGTGTGCAATGTGTGTCTGTGTGTGTGCAATGTGTGTTTGTGTGCATATATGTGCATGTGCGAGTGTATGTGTGTCTGTGTGCGTGCATGAGTGTACATGTGTGTCTGTGTGCATATATGTGCGTGCATGTGAGTGTATGTGTGTGTCTGAGTGTGTATGGATATATGTGCGTGTGTGAGTGTATGTGTCTGTCGGAGTGTTTGTGTGTGGATATATGT